GTTCCATTCAGGATGCTCACGACAAGCCCTTAATTTTTAGTCTGTATCATGTGATAAGAACTCCAAATAAAATGCTACATCATTTGAAATGGCAATTACTAGCCTTCTTTGAATGATGACATTTCTCTATCATTTAATCTGAATCCAGGAAGTAAAAAGTCTTAAAATAGATAGGGAGTACCTTCACTAAATGGAAATCCATGCAAATTCCTTTACTTTTTCAGTTTGGATCGAACTAAGGTTTTACGTAACAATTTAGTTCTATATCCTGTAGTTACGCTTATGATGGAATATTATGAGAAGGCAGAGAGACGTTCTTTCCCTCTCTGTCCACACATCCTCCTCCTTCCTCTCTCCCTTCCCTCCTCCCTTCTTTGTTCTTTTGCTCTCTCTCTTCCCATTCACCCACCCACACAGCCATCTATTCATTCACCCATCTGTGTATGTACGTATTTATGTTTCTATCGCTATCACCTATATACATTTAAATAGGAGTAGACCAAATTCTCCATGACCTCAGACACAGGCCTACTTATGCCTCCTGAGTTTTAAGAAAGAACTACTAATCTATTTCTCTGTGAATAGAAACTTTTATTCATAGGTTAGGACTATCACATTTAAAAAATGTTCTAGCATGTGGCCTCTGATACCTGAATTTGACAAGTCCTCTCTTGCTTGTATTAAGATTTACCTAGATACTCTTATGAGTCCTTTGTGAGGGCCTAAGGCACAGCAGGTGTGTGTGTGTGTGTGTGTGTGTGTGTGTGTCTGTGTGCACGTTTCTTTTAGCATGTCTATGTATACGTAGACAGACAACATACACACATATATATGAGTATGTATATATATTCCAAGCGCAGAGAGCAAGATAATTGATACTAGGGCATTGTCATTGGGTTTCTATTAAGTTCAGCTATGAAACTGCCAATATTCTACCATTTTTGTCACACAAAAATAGCAATTTTATATGATACAGTCTAATACTATGTTTCCAATGAAACGTTAAGGTCTCAAAAACCAAATGAACAAGAAAGGTAGAAAAACAAACAAAACCTTGTTGCTTGTTGTCTCTTTTGGTCAGTCTAGGGGCACATGTGCAGCTGGGGCTATGACTGTATGTTCAAAGCTCCTGACTTTGGGGGATCTTTAAAGGAAATGCATGTTTTATGTGAAAGAAGAAATGGCCCTGGTAACTGTTAGTGCAATGGGATCATTATGAAATTTTCAAGTGAACCACCCGGTATTACTTTCTTCTCTAGCTGCTGGAATCTGGTTCCCCTCTGCCCTAACATGGGGGACATTCTCATGCACTGGTTGTTAGGAGATGTTAGAATGTTGAGCAAGCAGGACAAGCATGACAAATGTCTGCCTTTCTGGAGAGAGAACATTTTCATCAAAGCTATATACACATCATACATACACCCCCAGATATTTGTGGCACAAGTCACTGAACAGGGAATATCCCCTCCCGCCCCACCTCCTGGTTCAGCTGCTCACAGATGCATCCACAACCAAGTCATAAAACACAATGAAACCAAGAGCCAATCCATAAAGAGAAGCCTGCCCCAGGCTTAATTCAAGCAAGCCATTCATCGAGCTAATGTGATGGTGGACCTGTCGAATCCAGAACGCATCACGGACACATCAGCAACACCAAGTGGCATGCAATGACCAGATGACCGTCGGCCCCACTGCCATGCTTTGATTGGTTCAAGCTCAGAAAACAATCCCCTTTGAGAGTTTGGACAGTTGGCTTTCCCTCAATTAGAGTGAGATTAAAAATGAAGATTTGGTGAAGTCAAGTGCTTACCACACATTTCCTAAATGACAAGGAGAGATGTTTGCCTATTCCCATTAAATCTGTCAGTGAGACTATCAAATTACCTAGTCCAAGCAGGTCTCTTTTTTTGGGGAAATCTCTGCCCACACCAGATGGTCTTCATTCTGGAGGTCAGCATTCAGAAACTCTCCGGGTGCTCCCAGATAATCAGCATGTGATCATTTAACCAAGGAGATGACGGGGAGGGAGTTGCAAGGTGCCCATCAAGGACCTTCTGCACAGTTCTGAGGTTATTGGAGTTCAGTATTTTCCAAAGGTCCCTGAATCTTTAATTTGATGAGGGCTTAATTTGTGCTGATAAAAGGAAAAATTCTACCAAGTGGGAACACCAAGCTTCTTCTGCTTTCCATACGCCTAAAGAGCGAATCTCACGATTACAAGTTAGTTGCGGTTTCTCTTTTCATCCTGTTGACAACCAGTGAGCGTTACCCAAACGCTCTCAATTCCTGCCGATTTTGCTTCCTATTCTGAAGGAGTTTCTTTGGGTTAAGAAGTTTTTTCTCTTTGTCATCCTGCCTGTCTTCTAGATGAGAGGAACTGAGAATCTATCACTGCTGATACTAAGCTGTGATCATGTAAAAATAAATTATTATACTACTGCTCTGAGATAAATTCTAGAAACTTGGCATCTTTCACCTAGATTCAAAAGCTATTCTGATACTTTCAGATTTTCTCCAAATATGTGTCTTCTATCAAAGGGAAAGGTCTTCCTTTTCTTCACCTGCTTACTGGGAATATAAGGAAGTACCACATCATAAATATGCTTTATAAATCGAACCAGAAATATCATTTTAAAGATTGTTTTCTGGTAATTTGCCTATCACTGCATTTACCTCAATGCAATAATCCCATATGTGGCAAGTGTCTTGCTTATAATAAAGTTAAAGAGGGCTGGTAATCAATTTCCACAGCAACCAAGAAGACCCAATGTACAAATTTCTTTCATGAACAGCAAGAGGCCAATTACGTGGACAAGAGTATATTTACTTGGTTTCTTCCATGGAAACGATTATACCAACGTGGGAATTGTAGAGTCATTCAAGTTTTACCAAGACTGAGGGCAATTTTCAGTAGGACACGTTGCCAATGAGAAATCTCAATACTGTTAAAATATCAGATTTTATACACATATTTGCATTGGGTGCCCCCCCAATGCAGCAACACTTTAACTTAATTTTCAAATGAATGCCAATAGAGATGGCCAGATTCTCAAGTAATTCTATTTAAGAATAGTATTAAATATTATTTTTTAAAAAGCATCTAGATGCATCTTATTAAAGAAAGCAATTTACATTATATCTTTATAATTAACCTTTTTCCAACTTGGGGGAAGATACACTTATACTGAGAAGCAAGATAAAAATCCAAAGAAATAAATCCATTTAAGATTCTTATAATTATACAGCAGGCTAAAGTTACTGTGATTATAATTATATACAAAGTGGGTGTTTGAGAATTTAGCATCTAGAGATATTTTCATAAAAATAATTAAGGGTTGTAGATGAACCACATTACAATTGATACTTTGTGAATCTTCAGTGTGCAGAGTTTTAATAGCATTAAGACTTTTCATTTGTAGAATGAGCTCCAGGATTTCAAGATTGCCATCAGTTTTATGAGCTTTATTGACCCTCTCTAGTTTCCTAAGCCGGTGTCAAAGTGTGCTGAAGATAGTAACGTACATAAAAACATGGTTTGCATCTTGGCAAGAGGATACTGGGTAACTGGATAATTTGTGTATTTAGAACTGCATCTTAACAGTTGTTTGGATTTCTTTGGAGGTGCTCTCCGGCCCTAAGAACTCGTTAGGGCTGTTTATAAGAAAACAGTAATAAAACCTACATACAACCAGATAGCAGACCTCACTTCTATCTTGCCAAAGAGCCATTTGTTAAAAGTGTATGCATGGGGTTTTCAAAGTGCAGCATTTAGGGTTCAGGAGTTGATTTTGGTTTCTTCTACCTTGGAAATCTGCAGCTACATTGAGCTAACGACACACCTTGTGGGAAATGGAATGGAGCCGCAGAGAAAGCACACGGCAGCAAACCGAGAGAGGAACTAAGTCACAACAGGCCAGGGAGGAAGGAGCACCAGTGGCTGCTGACACTTCCCATTTGGAGGTCAAGTACATCGCCTGCTTACCTGTCTGACCCAGCATGCCTCAGCCACACATGCAAATTGTTACCATCACTGTTTTATCCATGAGACGTATTTTTAAATCAAAGGAGTCATTACCAAAAATAAGCACCCTCAATGACATTTGTGCATGCAGAGCATCTGAACATTCACATTTGTCCTCAGAAAACAGAGCCAACGGGTTGCATTCAAATATGGAAACGCACACTTTTTTTTCCCCCCAGGCACCTACATGAAAATAGCTGTGGCTTGTCATTTCAGAAACCGAGTCGTCTGTCAAGCCTGGGCCATGGGTAATGGAGCTCCTCCCCCCCCCCATGCCCACCCCCGCCATCCATTCTGACTTCTACATTTCTTAGGCCCTCTCTGTCCCCCTTCCACTGTCAGTCTTAACATGTGGTGCGCATTACAAATACACGCTGGCTTATCTTAGTAGGATCGGACTCGGGGCACTGCCGAAAAGAATCTCCTTAGGAACGCCAGGCACATCTCCCCCATTCCTTTGTGTTGGATTAAAAAAAAAAAAAAGCAACGGAGGGAATGCTTTACTGGGTGTAAAAAGTTGTAAAAAAAAAAAAAAAAAAAAGGGAGGAGGAGGGGGGAAGCAGGGTGATTAAATTGGAGGAAAACCTGCCCGATCACCTTCTGGTGTTCTTCCTACGAGTTAGAGGAGACCAGGGCTGCTGCTTACACAGAAGTCCGTGGGAAGGCTGTACAGGGACCATATGTGTGTGCATGCAAGGTGCACTGTTGCAGGGATTTAGAAAGATCTGAAAAGCAACTCCACTGGCACAAAACATAGCATTTCGGGTTTTAGTGGAGAGGGCGAGAGTTTAGGATGTTCTAGGCTTGACGGTTCATCCTCTCTCTATGTGGCACTGTTTACCTTCACCATGGGACCTGATTTTTGGGTGCTGCCTCCCCAGCAGTCATGCATGCGCACCAGAACCAGACGAGAATCTCGTCTCCCACCAGCTAAGTTCATTTCCAGGTAGTTGTCAAGCAGGAGGAGGGAGACTCTTACCTGTCACTGTAGGCAGTGGCAGTGGCAGGGGTTGGCTGGGCGTAGCGGTATGCAGCATAACCACCCTAAAACGCAAGGAGAAATCTGACTTAGGAATGCAGAGGAGGCCGACTCGGGCACCGCGACTGTGAGGCCACAGCAGAACAGCAGTAACCCACATCTACCAGTCGAATGCGGAGGTTAATGAAAGCTTAGTAACAAAGCAGAAGTACAAAACACACTGGAGAGACAGGGGCTTGGATACCGACCCCAGCTGGATGTTACAGGTTAGCGGTTGTAAGCATTTCCCAAAGGAAGACCCCAGACACCCTTCTAAAGAGATGTACCTAGACGGTTAATGGTGACTGTGTTGGGGTGGGGAGGATTATGGGGTATTCCCTAAACACTCTGTGTACTTGGCTGAACTTTCCAGATTTTCAAAAAGGATTATGCTTTACCTTTACTTATTAGCTACTAACTTATGTCTTACTCAATCTCTCCTCGATTACTTCCTTAAAAATCCAACATAGGTTGAGCTAATGCCCTCCTGTCTTACATTGATATTTATAAAAAAATAAGATAATGCTTTGACTGAAAGTTTATTAGTCATCTCTGGCCTATGTGGCTGTTCAACCACTGAAGCAATGAAAGAAGACTGTGTTTAGCTTTCAAAGTGTTGTATAATTATTTAGAAAAATGGAAATGGTGAATACTTGTTAAAAATTCTGTCTTTTCCGCTAAAGATATCACACTGGTTCAGATAGGGAATTTGTTTGGTGTGGAAAATATGATAAAACTTTTCAATTTGTAAATAAAATAATTGAGAGAAAAACCCCCCAAAATAATTAACATTTAGTTGCATGTACCAGTTATTGCAATTGTTCAATTAAGCAGAGGACAAGCAAACGGTCATATTCGAAAGGAACTGTGTTCATGGAGCATTGATTATCAAACTCTGAAAATAACCGAGCTTCTTGCTCAGCAGACCACAGCAATACATCAACCACTGTCGAATGCTCTCAGCACAATTAACAAACAGGATCCAGTCTCTACCGATAAACACAGGGAACACTCAGGTTCTAATTAGAATTCACAGTCCCATAATCCTCTGAGGGAACAGTTCTTTCCCTCACCATAAAGGGGCAACTCTGAACAGACTGATGTGTTCGAGGACCCCCAAAAGTCAAGGTACTCGTGTGTCAGAGGGGATCTAACAACAAAATCAGGAGTGAGGGGTACGTTACACTTAGCTTCGTGTGTAGGGGACAACCAAGTGGTAAGACAAGGAGACAGATGCTGGAAAGAGCATCTTCTGAAATGTGGACAAAGTGGTCTCAATAATTTATTTCTACCATCTTCTAACTTTCAGAATACATCTGCCACGACTTCCGTAGCAATTCAGAAATCTAGTCTGTCCTTAAAAAAATGTGTCCTTTGGATCAGCCCTGGAGAAGGCACAATCCAAGACATCCTGACAGATAATCACCAAGCATTTAGAGCCAGTAATTATACACATACACACACACACACAAAGTCTCCCTTGAAAAATAATGTGGAAGTTAAAAAAAAAGAGGTCTTAGCCGGACACCACCTGGTGTTCCAAACACCATGTTCTCTAATTAGGAACAGGGAAACTCATTAAATGTGCTGGGGAGCTGTAAAACCCAAGAATTGTCACACCAGCACCAAGCTCAAGATACAGAATGATGGGCTGGGAGGAAATCGGGTCACCAGATTTCTGGAGTCATTCTTTTTATCTGCTTGTCCATCTCCTTGGCTTTCATGATGCATCCAGAAAGGCACAGGTGTGCAGGTGTTGTATATTAAACAATGAGGCAGGGAGGGGCTGGAGCTGGCTCGTTGATTGCTAGAAGGCATTAATTGCCATTAGCTGAAAGTGTGGATGGAAAAAAGTGTGTGTGTGTGTGTGTGTGTGTGTATTTTTTTCTCTCCCAGAATAAAAAGCAAAGCCATTGCAAAGGTATTTGCATCAAGGGCCATGTAAATCAATCATAATTTGGTGACTGTAATTTGGCCCCAGCAAAGATTTCTAGCAACACCCCCCACCCCGTGCATACCCTCTATGTTTGAACTCTGTATGTGTCCCCAGCTTCCACGATTGTTTCCATCAGTGAAAATGGGTAGCCAGTTTGATAAGTGCAAAGAACAGCTGTAGTGCAAATAGCAGATAACGAAAATGAGCCTCACTGATTGCCAGTTGATATTTATCGTATGAACATAAAATGGATGTGTGTGCAACTGGGATCCTTCTGCACAGCAGATGTGCTTGTCTATGACGCCTTGGGAAGGACCCATCCTCTCCATTATTTTCACATGACTTGCCCATTTAGACAAAATAAGTGTGTGCTTCAATGCGAGACAGGCAAAAATAGTCAATGCTCTGACAATATCCTGGTCTTGGATATTTAGGAATCTGTTTACCAGCATTTCCTATTTAAGATGCAAGGTCATAGTTTGCCAAAGTCTGTGGAGCCAGTGGAGAGATTGTGACCTTGAGCAGGAGTCTCCTTCCCGTCCAGTAGGTCTGTTGGTGATGATAGCAATGTTCTGCCTCTGAGCTGTCCAATACAGTTGTCACTGGTCCTAAGTGACTATTGAACACTTGAAATGTTGGCTGGTAAAACAAACTGCAGTTTTTAATTTCTTTGAGTTAATTTGACTTTACACGTCAAGGGCCACATGGGGCTGGTGGCTTCAGTACTGGACAGTCCAGGTCTAAGTGATCCCTCAAATAGGTAATAAGCGGAAAAAGAAAAGGCTCAGGGGGCTTGATACCACCATATCTATATACTGCATTGTCTTCTTTTGCTATTTTTCTTTTGTATGAAATCCGTATTAGGGGCATAACAGAGTTGTGTATTAACTCTGTGTATGTGTGCATACACTGTAAAATGATCAAAAAATACAAATTGCTTTAATTTGCCTTTCTAACAGGTGACTCTAATCAATTTTATTGCTCCATATTTTGCAGCTCGTTGAGCATAACCACAGTTTCTGCAAGGTTCTGTGCTAATGTCTGAAAAAGGAGCGCTCACTTCCATTTGCTAGCACCAAACCACATTCACGTTGAAACCAGTCTTCCCGACATTAGGATAAAAATGCATCCTTAACAATTAGATTTTTCCCACCACCAAACCAAATGGCAAGCACAACATGGTTCTCTGCTTCCTACTCGTAAACTATACTCATTTTTCACATATGGGCAGCAAGCTATGAATGAGGCCTTATATAAAATATAAATTTTAAATGGCCATTATGAAGTCTCCCTCCCACCTCTGCCACCATCACCAGAAGTGGCCACAAAGATCCCGACTCATATTGTCAGAAACATTTCCTTTGCTAGCGAGACCTCTGGAGGTTGGGGTGTTACTGATTGAGAACCTCTAATGGTGTTCCAACAAAGCATTTTCAAAACTGTACTTTGTGGAATATTAATAGAGGAAAAGAAAACTTTGCATGACCAAACAAGTCTGCAAGTCTGGGAAATGCCATATTAAACAAAACGAAACTGGCTTCTCCATCTGTGGAACTTTCTAAAACAATATTGACGAGCACTGTAGATGCTCAGTGCATCTGAGTCATTTGACAAAGCAAATCACATTTTTTACTTTAGAGCATACTTTTGGAAAAAGATGTTTTAATATCCAAATGATGGAGGAAGAGAGTTGAAATGTTTGTGTCCTGGTGGAGACATGGGATGGGTAGTGCTGTAAAGTGTGTGTGTATTTATTTATTTTTACTAAAACATTTATAAGAACATTTGCAAAATGAAACACTTAAACATAAATAATCGCTCCCTAATTTATCTGCATCATCCATTCAGCTGTTTTTGAAGTGTGGCCATTGAAAATCATTTTTCCTGAAACGTAAAACTAAAAGTTGATCTCAGGAATTTAAATTATTTTGTTCTCGCCTACATCCAAGTACCCCCTTTTTGTACTAGATTTCTCATTAAAACTTGATTAATTCTCATGGCTAAAAAAGAATGTACTTTCTTAATTGACTTAATACAGAACAAAAATGGGAACTGCATGTTACAGGGAAATCCATGTAATAAAACTCCCACTGATCATCCTTAGTTTTGCGTTCTTCTTTCATTTTATTTGACAGTTTTAATGTTGGTTATAGACCATATTGGGAGACTCGGCCAGCTACACTCCAATGGATGTGTTGCTCTTTTTTCTTCCTACAAATTGATTCATTTGGGGGTTGCTTCAGCAGTGAGTAATAGGGTTGAAAGCTATAGCAATGTGTGAAATAAATTTATAAGAAGCTACAATGAAACCAGGGAAAGTTATGTTACCTGTGTTGACCCTCAATGCTGGATGAGTAAGTTTTTTGCTTAACCATTCCAGTTGACTCCAGGAACCTACTACAAAGTTACCCAGACAAGTTGATACAATGAAACCTTGCAAGTCTTTTCACTGAATTTATACAAACTGGGTGTAGATGCATTTTAAGCCAGGAAATTTATAGCCAAGTCAGATCTCCATTTTGATACACTCATGATCTAGCAAACGGGGGAAATCTGAGGATGTGCATCCCTATTCTAGAAGCATTCACATCGAAACTGGAAAATTCAGTTAAGTCTTTCCTCCTTCTATGTTAGAGAACATCTCCCAACCCCATAATTGTCTTGTTAGTAGGATTTCACAGCAAACCCACAATCACAGTGGTGCGTTTTTCCACCAGTCGGGATTTCATACCTGCAGCAATTTATTGCCATACACAGGCTCTTGATACACTACTCTATAAGGAAACAGAAATGTAATGTTTTCAATGCAAAAATGAAATAAATAAAAGAAAATGCATAAGTCAGACAAATTCCAGAGCAATTCATTTACAAGTTTGCTTCTCTTACTTCACTAAGGCCTGAGAATGACCCATCAAACCAAAAGAAGGAGGTTTTAGCTGCTGAGCTCTGTAACCCAGAGTATCAAGAAGGTGCGGGTGGGGATCAAACCGTACTGACTGTATCTGTGCCATAACCTGTGTTTATTTTTAGAGAAGAAAAAAGGATACTTTCATGGCTTCTTATCCTTCTAAGCATAACACAATAGTTGAAGTTAACTACTTCAAATTTCTCTATCTCATGATTAGAATTCTCTGGAAAACCTGAGGATTTAGCTTTGATGCCTAATTATTGAGGCAGTTGAGATGAGAGTACAGAGCAACCATAACCGTAACAATACCTTTATTTTAAAAATTTAATATCAAATAACAGAGAGTGCAATTGAATTTTGTAAATTAATGAATCACGTTGAAGCTACCAAAGCTGCTTTTAATATATATGACTGGAAAAATTATGTGTGCATGCATGTGGCTAGAGAAGTTGCCAATAATATATGTATTATGGATATGTCACAACCTCATTCAAGTCCAAAACCAACAAGATCTCAAGAAGAACCCCTCGGACAGACTGGGATGCAATTTTTAGATGTGAAAGTTTTTTGTGGGCAAGCTTAATCTTTCATGTGACTGGTTCTAGTTTAAAGTGAAATTTTCCAGTTCTCGGGCAGACATCGATGTGGTGAAATACTATAAGAGTTTATGGGACCTGCCTTATAAATGTGTGTGTGTGTATCTGAACCTTTACTTGGCCTTAGATTTAGTAAATTTAAGCCTGTGGACCTATGCCTGTCAACATTCTAGTGTCTTCTCTCTCTCTCTCTCATTCCCATTGCTTACTGGAACGTTTCAAGCAGAGATACTGTTCTCCATGACCTGCCGACCCCATTATCCTCTCATTTCTCAACCTCCTTTCCTTTCACTGCATTTCCCAGAGCTTGGCTCAATGAGGGCAAGGACGTTACTCCGTTGGCTCGGAGCTTAAGCATTGAACGCTGAAGCCAGATCCCGTGGGCTCAGACCCCAGTGTCAGGGAACATTTCTGGACAAAACATTTCATCTCTTTGCTGAAGAAAAGTGTCCCCCCTCTGAAAACAAAAGTGGAGCTAACGGGTGGAGGCAGTTCCTCCCCTCCAGTGCTGAGGGGAGGAGGTAAGGCAGTAAAGATAGTAATGCTTAACTCCTTTGTGGGCAGTTGCCCCTGGGGTGACTGACCTGCCTAGTATTAGCTGACTCGCAGCCAACTCCCATGGAAAGTGGGGTCCCAGGAATAAGGACTTGGGGTTTATCTGGATAAGTTCTGTGTTTCAGTTATCCATGTTTACATGGGTGAAATGAGGACACCTCTTTGTTTTAAGATCCATGGATGGCAAAGTGACACGAATTCAGAAATAATTGTGTTTAGCCATGGCATCAGCCAGGAACTTGCTATAACGGAATTTAAGAATCATGTGAACAGGCACTGGAATCTCATTGAGACATACCAGCCTCATGGCTGCATGGATGGGTAGAAAGCTTAGGGCTTTCTTATAAAAAAGGAACACGGTTAACATTTCTATCGTCTATCAGTGTTTCTTTCTCTGTCTACTCTCCCTACCCGTCTTCTCTTCCCTTCATTCCAATGCTCCACTCTCTCACCCCACTTTCCACTGAGTTAGTACCTTCTTTTTAAATAGCTCTATTATAATGGCCTTATTTCCATTTTCAATAGTTATCTTTTGATCAAACGCCATACCCTTGGATCGTTCCCTGAGCTGGGGAAGACAAATGTCCGGATAAATGCAGTTAAGCCACACTTGCTTTCAGCTCTGTGGCCAATTCTGGTCTCCTGAGATCCATAGCTTCACCCCCAAAGAGAATGGATTGCTTTGTAGGCCCAGGGGACTTAGTCCTTATACGTCAACTTTCGAACAGGTTGTCAATTCCATGGATCGCTACTACTATTATTTTTTTTTCTCTTTACTGTGACTCACTTTTTCATGAAAAAAAAATCATTTAAATGTGCACCAGTAAGCAATCATGGCGAACTTGCAGATTTGATAGGCTAGTTATATAAGATAAATTCCTATCTTTTGAAATAAAAGAGTGTGTGTGTGTGTGTGTGTGTGTGTGTGTGTGTGTATGTGTGTGTGTAGAGCATGTGCTCAGGTAGAAAGGACCCAGGTAATGACCTTTTATACTGTCCTTCCTGACTTCGAAATCCACTACATCCTCTCTGATGAATGGCCATCCACACTGGGCTTGAGCATGTCCCCTGTGGCCAGAGTCCGAGCAGGTCTTTCAAATCCTGTGTGCTCCGTTAGGACCAAGAAATGCCCAAGGCCTCCAACATCAGGTGGGGTTGGGGGGCAGGACAGAGAGAAGGGGTGGAGGCCATGGTCTAGTGCATGTGCTGTGACAGCTTCTGAGGGGGGACAGTGCTTGAGCAGGAAGAACTAGAAGGTAGCCTGCCTGTGCCATCCTTAGCAGTGACCAAAGCTAGAAGCTCACTACTCTACCCAGTAAAGTGAAAATGAAAGAGGACATTTCAGCCTATTAGAGGTAACCCAGGTGTCTAACACCTGTCCCAGGACCTCTCAGGATTGCCCTAACCCTATTTATTGTGCACTATCTTTAATGAGATTGAAGGAGCAAGCCAGAAACTTCCTTTAAATAAAATAGAACCTCGCATACTTTCTTATGAACCTTGTTAATCATCATTCCTTCAAGAAACGGTGCCCTGGGGACAGTTCCAGTCGTAAGAAGGGAGGCAGGGGTGGCAGCTTGAAAAAGCACATTCCAGATTGTAAGGTACTTCTAGCCAAGAGGAATCCTGCTCTGTAAACTTTAAGAGTGCAGGAAATACTCATATTCTTTCTTTCCCTTAAATGGACATAAGGCCATCGATGAGCCCTTGTTTTGCTGCCATTAACAGGCGGTCTAGTCCCTCACTGTGCCCCACAGACACACACTGCCTGGCAGCAGTATTCCCAACTTGCCATCTTATGTGGAGCAGAATAGTCAGGAAGGTCTGCAAGGCCTGGACTACCCTCTTGGAAAGAGGACAGAAACAAGTGCTGGGTAAACAAGGCTCCAAGTTATTTCAGTACGTGCTTCTGTCCCCTAATTGCCTATTTGGAACCACCTCCCGAAATATCTTGTCATATAATATGAACAGCGGGAAAATGATCTAAATTTTTTTTTTGGCTAGAAGAGTGGCTTAGCAAAGAATGAGAGAAACGGTCTTCTAAACCTTGACACCAGGGAAGCGCAGCATGACAAAAACAAGACACGCCGCCCCCAGACAGAATCTCTCTGAGGGCGGCACCCAGGCACCTGTCGGGGCTACACCACTACGCCGGCAGGCTTGGCCCAGATGTGATGAATCTGGGGGAAACAAAACCACTCAAGAAGCTTAAAGGACAAAGGGACCTTTTTCGTAGCTTTCCTCCCTGAATGGAATTTATCTTCCTGCCTAGTCTGGAAGCTGGCACGTTTGCTCCCTTCTGCATGTCTCTGCTCCCTCCATTTGCGTTGTTCTCATGGATTTCCATTTGTGGTCTTTAGCGCCAACCAGCACAGACACATCTGCCCACTTCTCTTTCTAGTGCATTCTTTCCCCGTGTCTGTGATCCAATAGATTCTGCATTTGGGCAGCTCCTCCTTCCTGCTACTCAAACATCTAGGAGGCAGGGAAAGATGCCCACCAGATATATCCACAGGACAGCACAAATTAATAATCAATTGCTGTCAGTTTACAAATGAAGAAACTGAGGCACAGGAAGGTGGGCACTCCCCCCCAAGCCCCACTGGTGGCTGTTGATGGAGATAATTTTTTTTGTTGTTTTTTTTTTGGTAGATTGTCTTTTTCCCTCATTTTTCATCCCTTCTCTTCTCCCCATTTCCCAAATTAAAAAAAAAAAAACAACCCTAAACTTAGGTATGCTCTAGCTAGAGGCTACACTGGGGGAGGGTATAGACTGATGTTGGGTTCATTAGGTTAGGTTTCTGAGGATGTGGATGGGCTCTAGGATGCCCAGCCCCAGCCTGCCTCTCTGTTTATAATGGTGTGCATTGCAAGTTTTGTTTTTTTTTTTTAAAGAGGATATTTGGAGGCATGGATTAAACTACACGAAAAATAACTTGGTTGTTCACTGGGTGTAGGTTGTTTGTTCATTTTATTATGAAAAGAATACTAACCCACAGATTATAATAAATGTATTTCAGATGCAATGATAGAACTCAACCATATGCATCATTGATGGAGATTAATACTGTGTCTCAAAATTGTAATTATTTGAAATTCAAAAGGAAGAAAATTAAATAGTGTCTTTCCCGTTTTCCAGTAAATGATAACAATTTGATCAGACATATGGATTTATTTTTCTTTGTTATCTAGTTTGTAAGACGACAAATATGATTCCAGTTAACTTATTTGAGGTCACTTGTAACAAAAAAGTATATGACTTAAAAAACAGCCCCCGGCCCTGCCCATCTATTTTAAATTGTGTTTTTTCCAGGTTATTTTCCTAACATTGCAGCTAATATCATAATGTGGGAGAAAAAGTACCTCTAGATCTATTTAGGTAATTTTAATTACGGTGCCCATAATGAGAACCATCCTACTCTTTTCTGAAAGTGAAAAGCTTAATAAAGTGGTACCATTTAATAAACAATTCTAAATTTAACTAACAATTCAAAGTCAGGTAATGGTTTGGGGGGGGAAACGGAAGGAATAAGGAAGAAAATAGGGTTTCGTGGTCAAGTTGGCTTACATTTTGTTAGAGATGTTTCTGGCTAAAATCATCCAAAGTGGGAGGGGTTCTTTCTAGAGCTATTACCATGAACAATTAAATGTATTTATAGGAAAATATCAAAAAAAAAAAAAAGCAGCCATGAAACTATCTTTTAACGTTCTATAG